GGTCCGACTCGACGGCACATAACAACAACAACAACAATCTATAGGTTTGGATAAGTGACAGTATTTCCTGAACCATAGTCCTGTAGAAAGAAGGTTTTATTAGTACAACAAATAATGGGATGATGCCACTGGTTGCTGTCCCCATCACTGATGAGAAGACAAAATCCACGAAAGCACCACAAGAAGCCATCATTAAAGCAAAGGGCGCCATACCTGCTGACTCCTGGGCACGCCGTATCTGAGGTCATTGACAAAGTGCTCACAGTTCCCTTCAATCAGGCTGTAATACACAGTCTTGTTAATCATCTTCTTCGTACGTTGGATGATCTTGTCCACGGGCAGAGGCAGGTATGTCCCATCTAGTTTGTTGTTGATCTTCCAGGAGCAGCCATGCAACACATCCTCCAGACGGCTGTATTTTACAACAGCTCGATTGCTAAAGACAGAAGTGATGCTGCCGGCCTCGAATTCCTCACCTAGCAACCAAAGACAGACCGAGGTTGGAAAGTGGCTAGGGGTGGTTCACAGAGGACTGGCTCACTCTAAGACTTCAAATCAGCTGCTCCCTTCTGGGCCTTAGTTTTGCCATCTGTAAAAGACATGGCATGGGATAAGGGGTTGGACTAGAGGAACGGACCAGCCTACCCACAAAGGCTTTGCCCTGCACTGCACTACTGTTCTCAATTCCTAGGAGGTCTATCTTATTAAACTCTATCAGAATACATTCAGTGTGTACTTACTTCTAATTGGTCCTTAGATTTGCGTCTTGCTTTCCTAAGCAGACTTCAGCAACCTTCACGAGTAACATATATAGAGCTCCCTCTACGTGTGTTTGTGAGCTCCTGGGCATGGTGCTATCATGTACATTACAAGAGTAGCTTCCAAGCTGTCCACAGCATGCCTCCAGGACCACTGCAGGGCCACAGGGATGCAAGCAGGCAGGACTATGAATGGTACCAACCACCTTCAACCCAGAGTAACTTTGCTTTTATCTGTGTTCAAATATTGGGATTCTCATTAAGAATTT